AAAAAAAAAAAAAAAAAAAAACTCACTAGAGATAATAATACTAAAGGCCAACATAGACATAAAACCAGAAAAATACAAGAATCCAAAGATTTAGGTGAATGCATAAAGGCAAAGACTAATTAGTTATACCACCGCATAAGACCACAACAGCATATGTTCGGCCAAGTAGTACAATAATTAGAACAAGCTTCAGACTCCACTATTCCCGCTGCTCTTCGCAATTTCACTTGCGATTTCTGCTTCTAACCTGAGTTGCACAGAAAACATCTCATGTGTCAATGTCCAAACACACATAGTAAGGATAACAAATCACAGGACTTTGCAATCAAAGATTCTACTGCAGGACATTACAACCAGGGATGTTCAAACTTCGATTCAAACCAAAATAACCGGCAGAAATAATGAATTTTGTTTGGTTTTACATTGCTAATTTGGTTTTTAGTTTTTATTTAGACCTTACTCGGTTATTTCAGTCTGTTGTGGTTTGTTTCTGAAATAACCAAACCGACTATACTATACTTAAACACAATAATATAACTAACTATATATTATTTAAAATATACCCAGTACTTCTTCCCAGTTCCCCCATGCAATTAAAACTTCAAATTATCACAATACGGTTCACTTTTCAGTTAACAAAGCGGCAGCCCTCTCCAAACACTGTACAAATCGTGAAATTCTAATGCTCTTGAAAATCGCAGTCCTTAATTGTTCCTTCCTCAAAGATAAAGTTGTCCCGTTTGCCCTAAATTCACAAATTTCCAAACTCGTAGATTTGACTATTTAGTATTTACCCCCAAATTCGGATTTCAAGTCCTCACGGTGCTACATCGTGGCCATCTTGTTTTAATGGCACTGCCCAAGTTCAATTAGTTAAAAAGGGAGCAAAAACGTGATGTTTTTTCCTTCTATCTGTCCATCTACCTCATAATCCTTCTATATCTCTATATAAATTTGTGGTGTAAGATTAATCAGGAACTAGATGCATACCTCATAATAGAATGCTCCGTTTCCTCCCTGCCAATAGTTTATCAACAAACTTTCAGTGAAAAAAAACTAACATCACCATCTTCAACCTAACAAGATAGAATGCCCAAGAGGAAATAAATCATCTACTCAAACCTCGTCTTCCTCGCAAAATCCAGGTCTCTCGTGGCTTCCTTGCTGCAATAACAACAAACAACATGATAACTTTGAAATTCCATTGAAGAAGTGTCAATAAGACCAACACAATATCACATAAAAATGTTACATAATCGTCATGAAAAGGAAAACAAAGGCACAATGATATGCATATCTGCAAAAATAAGCTCACATAGACTGCCAATTTGGGATCCAATGAAAATATCTCCCTTGGGGAGATATCAAGAAAGAATTTGGATGTAATAAGATCAATGAATGCAGAAGAAAATATTCTATTGCCTATGTACCTATGGAATAGAGATAAAGAACAAAGTATAAATCGAATATTTCACATCATTTGATACAAGAAGGAAAAA